CAGTTTATAATCTGAGAGTGGAGATATTCTGGGAAGGATAATCTCTCCTCAGATAGTTTCATCAATGACTTTTACCAGAATTCTTTTTAACTTGAGGGGGTTAGATATGTTCTCCATTGTGTTCCTCTAGTAGGAGTTCCCATTAAAATGGGGGAAAAAAGTTCCAGGAGAACTTGTTTCTTAAAAAATAAGCAACCATATTGAAGATTAGGTGGCTATAGGTCTGTGGGTTCATTTATCGGTTTTCAGTTCTATTCCATTGGTCCTCAGAGCAGATGAGTTTCAGCGGGGAAGGAAAAGGTGGGGAGCCCAGTGAATATTTGTACTCAGAGCTTTTCACATTGCTTAGTAGAAGGTAGAAACTCATGAAGAAGTAATGAAAGGAAGAAAAAAGGAAGAAGGAAAAATGATAATTTATTCATATGTTCTTTTTTCTCTTGAAATACACAGTAATGAGAGTGGGCCTGGGAGGAAGGGTTTTCTTTTGTTTTGTTTTTGGTGCTGGTTCTAGGGCTTGATCTCAGGGCCTGAGTGCTGTCCCTAAGCTTTTTTTTTTTTTTGCTCAAAGCTGGTCCTCTTCCACTTGAGCCACAGATTTTTGGTGGTTAATTGAAAAGTCTCATGGACTTTCCTTCCTGGTCTGACTTAGAAGTGAAGTCCTCAAATCTCAGCGTTCAATAGCAGCTAGGATTACAGGTGTGAGCCACTGGTATGCAGTTTGAGGAAAGGTTTTTGAAGACAAAGTCCGCCTTCTTCACAGATCTGTCTAGGATTTGATCCCAACATTACACTTTAGAAATGGGAACAGTTGTTTCTTGACTTACTCTGTCCCTCAATACATACTGAGTTAGTTATTTTGCATTTACTCTCTCTCTATCCCAAATAAACTGTTATCAAGCCAGGTTTTCCTAACCCTGCTTTTATGTGAAACTGGCTATTTGATCCCAAGTTAAGCATTTTTATATTTGTCCTGTTAAATTATACCCTGTTTCTTAGCCCACCATATATAAATATATAATTTAATGTAATATTATATAATATATAAATTATATACACACACATACATAACTTGTATTGGATTTGGGTTGTCCACCCAGTGCATTAGCTCTCTGTGTCTTTCTGAATTCAGTTCGCTGTCAGAAACATTGCTAGAGCCGAGCTGGAGTAGGAGCCAGCTGAGGTCACTATCTTGGGGGAATGCAGTTGGTCAGCAAAGAATGCCTTGAGAGGTAGAGGCCTGGGTGGGGCTCCCTAGCTGAGGCTACTCTGAGGGCCATGGAAGAGACAGAATTCACAGACTGAGAGGGAGGAGGCTGAGAAGCAAGGTTTCCCATGAAGACTAAGTCTGCCTTTCTCACAGATCTGTCTAGGATTTGGATCCCACCATGGCAACTTAGAAATGGGAACAAAATTTCTTCATATACTTCCTTCCTCAACACATATTGAGCTAATTGTTTTGGGGATACTCTAAATTCAATCGGTATCCTCTTAATTCTCTTTCAATTGAGAAATAGGCAAGCACACATGCTTTTCTTATCCACCTATGACATCATGATGCAACACTGACCTTCAGTTTTCGTTAAAATGATGCTATATTGAAAGAGATGACATTGATCAAGATATATTGTATTCATACACTGCTTGGTTAAATGGCAACTCCTTTGTACTAGTACTTAAAGATAATAGTATTAAGAAAAAAAGGGCTGGGAAGGTGGCTCAGTGGTAGAGTGCTTGCCTCACATGCAAGAGGCCCTGGATTCTATTCCTCAGCACCAAATAAACAGAAAAAGCCGCAAGTGGCACTGTGGCTCAAGTGGTAGAGCGCTAGCCTTGAGCTGAAAAGCAGAGGGACAACACCCAGGCCCTCAGTTCAAGCCCCATGACCACCACCACCAACAAAAAGATGCTGATGAAAATAATAGCACCTTGTTCTGTGTAACAGTTTATGTTTTCGAAAGCACTTTTGTATAAATCCTTACTAAGCCCGAAATCCTGCAGTGCAAATCAGAATCATGGCTGGCTCTACCCTGCAGGTGCTCAGAGCAATGGGCAAGTAACTAGGCTGTGGTGCTCTAGAAGAGGCCTGTCTACCCTAGACTATGGGGATCAATTGTCCTTCAGGGAAATTTATGGGAGAAGTTTTGATGTAAGGATATCTTTTGGAAGTTTCATTTTCTCCTTCAAATATCTAAGGGATAAAGTATGCTCATTATAGCATACTTTGATCCTTCTGGCTCCAATTCAAAGGAAGTAGGGGGCTTGTCTTTTGTAAAGCCGAGGGCTAGCTTTACCATTGTATGTTGTATTAGTATGTTTTAGAAGAAATATAGAGAATAAAACTGGAAAGTTTACATTGAGGCAGAACACACATTACTCATATACATATATATATATATATATATATATATAATGTTTCATAGCTGTCAGAGATTTTAAAGAAAGGTTCATTAGGTTGGATTTACTTGTCTATTTTATTGGCTATATTAAGGAGATATCCTTTGGAATAACTTATTAGTTGACTTGCTTTAATTTAAATTTATTAAGGTATTTTTGTATTCCCACCTTATATTTACTTGATCATTTTTTTTTTTTGGTGGGTGGTGGGGCCTGAACTCTGGGCCTGGGCACCGTTCCTCAGCTCTTCAGCTCAAGGCTAGCGCTCTACCACTTGAGCCACAGTGCCACTTCTGGCTTTTTTTGCTTATGTGGTGCTGAGGAATCAAACCCAAGGCCTCATGCATGCACGGCAAGCACTCTATCACTCAGCCAACTTCCCAGCCTTACTTTATTTTTTTATAAAAGCATTTTTTTCCTTTCTCATTTAATTAGGAGGACATTATTCAAATCTATGAATCTGCCAGGGTCAGATCTTGTGGGCCCCAGTATTTCCATGCAATGCTAATGAAGAATATACAAATGATGTTGTTCTTGTTTTGAATTCTGTCATGTATGTGAAGAAGAGTTTGGATTATTTTGTTGAGTCCAGAATTAATGTGGGGAAAATTTTTCTACCGTCTAAGTGGTAGACAATAATTTTGATCTTGTTCTATCTTTGGCTATTTATTTCTAATTGTGCTTCACTTTAATTAGACAGTTCAAGACATATTAACTTTTCTAATATAGAGGGAAAGAGATAATAAGGCCCATAGAAAAAGTCAGTACTGTAGTATTGTATTTTGAGGATGTAGATGAATCAAGATAGTCAGCCAACTTTTATTGACTAGTGCCAGGTACTGTGTTATGCAGTGGGATGTGAAGATGAAGTTCTTTCTGAGTCCTCCAGCTGGTGGGCTACTATGCTAGTGAACTATAAATTGTGTTCATTGTTCTCAAACATTCTGATGTATTATAAGGTTGTAACACATCCAACAGGAATGCTAAACTGAAAGTCTGGATTTTCTTCATGAAAGAGATAATTACATAATGAAAGGATTTCCTTGTTTTCTAATTGCTTTTAAATTAGGTAACTATTAAAAGGTGTTATAATCACAAATACAACACAAGATTAAATTAGTCTAAATTACCCACCTACTTATTCTACCAGAAACACAAAACTCAGAGGTGATTTACCTTGAAGCGCATGAATCTAATGAAGGCTTGTCATGTCACAAAACAGTGTTCATGTGGTAATATATTTTTATCAAGTTTGTAGTTTTTGAATTTCTTTCTTTTGTCCCTCATCTCTTACCTCCCTCTTCTCTTTTTTTGGGGGGGGAGGTGTCGGTTGTGGGGCTTGAACTCTGGGCCTGGGTACTGTCCCTCAGCTCTTCAGCTCAAGGCGAGTGCTCTACCACTTGAGCCATAGCACCACTTCCAGTTTTCTGAGTGGTTTATTGGAGATAAGAATCTCACGGACTTTCGTGCCCGGGCTGGCTTTGTACCTCCATCCTCAGATCTCAGCCTCCTGAGTAGCTAGGATTACAGGCATGAGCCAACAGCACCCATCTTTTTTTCTCTCCTTTCCTCTTTTCTCTCTCTCATTCTCTCTCTCTCCTTCCTTCCTTCTTTCCTTTCTTCTTCCTTCCCTTCCTCCCTCCCTCCCTCTCTTTCTCTCTCTTTCTCTTTCTTTCTTTCTTTCTTACTCTCTCTCTTTCTTTCTTTCCTGAGGTTTTGAAGTCAAGACTTTGAGCTTGCCACACAGATACTCTACTAATTGAGACATGCCCTCAATTCCTTTTGCTTTATTGATTGATTGTGCCAGTCTTAAGGCTTGAACTCAGGGCCTGGGTGCTGTACCTGAGGTTTTTTGCTCAAGGACAGTGATCTACCACTTGAGCCACAGCTCCACTTCCTGCTCTTTGGTGGTTAACTGGAGCTAAGAGTCTCATGAACTTTCTTGCCTAAGCTGGCTTTGAGCCAAGATCTCAGCTTCTTGAGTAGCTAGGATTACACGTGTGAGCACTGCCACTTGGCTTGCTTAGTTATTTTTTTGTATAGTGTTTCAAATTTATTCTGGAGCCTGTCTGGAAAGTGATCTTCCTGTTTACACTTTCCACATACTTTTAAGGACATGCATATCACTTATGCTCAGCTTTTTTGTTGGCTGAGATAAGGTATTCCAAACCAGAGTGGCCTTGAACTATGATCTTCCCAATCTCTACCTCTCAAATATAGAGGAGCAGAGATTCCAGGTTGGAACCAATCAGTCTGGCCTTTTTTGTTTTGTTCTGAGACAGAGTCTCACTAAATAGCCTAGGCTACTTTGAACTAACCAATATCTCTGGCTGACCTTCAACTCTAGATCTTCCTGCCTCTTTCTTCCTAGTGCTGGGATTATAGGTATATGCCACCACACTTGGATGCACTTCTTTCCTTAAAGAGATTCTTCTCCTAGATCAGTCCCTGTAGCAAACATAGTTATCCCTGGTAATTTCTACTGCTTTCTTTACTCACCCTCTTCTTACTCCATATTTTCTTCCTTTCTACCAACAAAGTAAACATGTCATTTTTTTAACTTGAGATATCTAACCAAAAGCAATTAGCACTCCATTTAATCTTACCTCCTGCACATATGGTGGATGGCTCAGCTGCTAGAATTTCAATGCAAGATTTCTTCAAAATCTAGAAGGAAAAGAAATAAACTGTCAACGCCCAGTTTATTTTGTTGAAAGAGAGAATTTAGATAGTACTTTGGCTACTGAAGTAGGAAAACTCAAGGATATCAGGTTGCAATAGTGGATAGGGAGAAGGGTCATTTTTACTATTATTATCATCACTGCCAAACATTTAATGTCAAGTTGTGTTAGACACTGTTGGATGTCCTAAAGGCCATAAGAATTATTTATTCATTTAATCCGTTAGCATTTATTTTGGGCATTTATTGAGTTCATGTTATGCCAGTCATAGTTCTGGGGAAGTTTAGCAACACTGACTTGATCTGATAAATCACAAAGTCTGGTCATCTGTGGTGGCAGCATGTATGAGGGAGCAGCTATGGAATCTACTGGGGTGGGGCACTGCAAAGGGCTTCAAAGAAAAGGTGGATACTGAAGTTTAACTCAAATGGAGAGGAATGGGTCAGGTACAGAATAAGGGACCTGTCAGGGTATGTATGACCAAAGATAACACAGGAGAAATGCATAGACCTCTTTAGCTGGTGCACATGTGCACACACACACAATGCTCATGCATGCTTGAAAAAGGAGACATTAGGAATAAAATCATGACAACAGGCCTGTGAAGGATAAGATGGAGGTGATTATCTCTCCTGGGGTGTTGTAGTCAGATTACTCAGAGCTCTTGTGTAGAAAAAGTCTAGAGAGATGATGTGGAATTGGGCTGGAGAGACTATTTGCTCTGCCTAGTCTGTAGAACTTTCACCCCCTGAACTTCATTGAAACAAGTCCTCTGGCAGTGAATTCTGGAAGCTGAGTGGAGAGTTCCCAGGCAGGGATTTATAAGGAAGACCCTGGCCCAGAGAAGAGTATCTGGCTGGTAGAATGTAAGCTTCTCTCCATCAATCAACATTGACTCTAAAATTTGAACCAAGCATTTTAAACAAGTATGGGATATTGAGTCCATTTATTAAGCAAATATGGTATCTTTTGGTGAGGGTACTTATAAATTTGAAATTTGAGATGGTTAGAGGGCTGAAGGAAATAATTTTTTCCATCCATGGAGGGTATTTGTTAAGATAACTAATAATATAATAATAAAACAAAGTAGAAGAAGGAATGATTTCAGAGCACTGGGAAGTGCCCATTTATTTGCTTTTGTATATTTACTTAGCTGTGCTTCTTGTACTATCTTAAGTGATATATGACACTCTAAGATACAATCAAATAAAAATGCAGATTGCAATAAGGGATGGATTCAAGAGAAAATAAAAGAAAGATGATATGAGGAGTGAGAGTAGAACAGAAATACAGTTTGCAAGGAGCTTACTGTGGAGTGGCCCAAGCTTTCTAGTAGCAAGTGAAAAAGACAGAGAACACGAGGATCACAATCTGTGGAACAAAAACAAATTGATTCTGAGAAGAGATAATATTTACCCATTCCAGAGAGAAATCAGGGTGCCCTTGTAGAGAAGCATTGTGAAAGAAAATGAACAAACAAGCATAAGAAAAATCCTTACGGACTGTGCAGGTGACAACATAGTAAAAACAATTTAAACGGTTTTTCATACCACATCTCTTAGGTAGACTGTATGTATACCAGGAATTATAAAAAGCAAAATTCTATATTTTCCAGCCACTTTTCCTTCATTAGGTATAACTTCTTAACATTTTCCTTCTTTGCTCCCCAATCTGTTTTCAGCTTTCCTCTGATTCTGCAGGTGGAAATTGTTCCTCCTGATTTTGCCTCATTTCCTCGGCTTCTTGCTTACCCAGCCACTTCCCCAAGTCACACAGGTGCAGCTTCAGTTTTGCACTACTCTCCAAGTGTGTCCTGATGGTAGCAGGAAGGAAATGTTTTGGGCTCTCACATCCCTTGTGATGTCACCTGAAGTCAGAGGTCCTCACTCACCTGACTATGGATACTTGGTGTCAATGCTGAGTGTCTGTTTCCCGTTCACTTTTAGACTGACTTGACATCAGGAACCCAACAGATACATCTGAGCATCTGTGTTTCCCTGTTGCTTTCTCCTTCCTCCCCTTTCCTATAGGCCCATCAGTCTTTGAACTCTTACGGCTGTAGAAATGTCCTAGAACTGTAGCTTTCCAAGATCCTGATGCATAATGATACCTATTCTAGGTGACAGCTGCACTTTATAAATGTGAAGATTGTCCATTTCTTCTCCCCCCATCATGTTTTGCCATTGGACTCTTCTTGCCTTATGGGTCACCTAAGCCAGTGGACGCTATGATCTAAGGAAGGAGCCACCCTTGTCACATGTCCTTGGGCATGAGTCTCCAAACTGGCCCATCAAGAAACAGAAATAACCGAAGGGGAAGATCTCTGTAAACAGTGGTGTTTGAATAACACCAAGGTACTTTTTGCTATTTAAAATTAAATTGGTAAGGCATTTGATTTTTTCCAATAAATCATTTTATTGGCCACAACTAAAGATTTCAAAACAGTCCAGGAATAAAAACTAAGGCACTAGCTCTTTCCTACTTCCATTTCCCAAAACATGTACATGAACATTTCACCTATATAAGTTCCTGAGCTTCAATCAACATTTTTGGAACCAACTCTTCACATTTAACCAGGGATCAGTAAATGAGACACTTGTGAATCTTTGACCACAAAGACATACTAACAGGGTTTGTCATCATAAACACATGGTGTGTTAGTCTCTCAGAGTGTCTACAATTAGCTGATTAATCCAAGGAGTGCACAAAGAGCCAAAACATGTCAGCCAAGGGCTGCTATTTCAATCAAGGAAAAACACAGTTTTCCAAATTGTAATTTAAAACATCTGGAAGGGATGCAGTATAGCCAATACAGTAAAATTTATCAGAGTGGGGGATGGGCGGGCTTGTCTGGAACTGTGATTCCTATTAGTTCAAAATGTCTGGCTTCAAAAGGTAGGTGTGAGTGACTTAGGGGTTCCTGTGATCATTAGCAGCCCAGAGTGTCTGGGAAGCGATGTATAAAAACTTCTGCGGATGATCTGAGGGACGAAGACTGTAAGGGAGTGAGGAGGCTGAGGATCACTCCCGTATCTGGGCAGCAGTAGCCAACAAGGAGGAATAGACACAGCACTAAGGCACTAGGGAATTGCTAAGGGAAGTCACTGGATGGTGTGGAAGAGTCACATGGCATTGGAGTGAGGTCAGAGGTGAGGTAAAGGTTTGACTGGTCCATAGAGACCAGGTCCTGATTCATGTAGAATGTCACAATGTCTTAGTCCTTGTACTGTACATCATTCGTTTAGGCTCTTTGACAATTCTTTGAGCTTTTCTGAATCCCTAGTTAAAGAAGAAATATAACATAAGTTACTTGGAATCTGGAATCAAATTACTTGGCCAATTCACATATGAGCAATGTGACCTTGGGCAAATTGTATGGCCTCCCTGAGTTTCTTTTCCTCATCTACAAAAGTGGTATAATGATATTCTGCCTAAAACACTACCATGAGGCAAAGCTGGCAAGATTAAATAAGATAATTGCAGGCCAAAGCACAGCACAGGGCTTAGAACTGTTAAGTCTTCTACTAACTGTAGCTATTATCTTTAAAGACTTGGGTTCTGAACACAGGTAAGGTAGACTTGGGCTCTGAATGTTTTTGTTTTTCTTCTTCTTTTTTTCTTTTGCTGAAATTCAAGCCCCATTATTTACTGGCCACATGGACTTGGAGAAATTATTACATCTCAGAATCTGAGTTTTCTATGTAATGGGATAAGAAAAACTGATTTCAAGGGGCTGTGTAAAGGTTAAATGAAATAGTAGACAGGAATGAGGAGCTGTTTGTCAAATCAATTGGACTTTAATGACAAAATCCCTAATGGATGGAAAGTGAGGAAGAGACTTGAGATTAAAAAAACAACAACAAGATTTTGTCTTGTAGATAAAAGTAGACAGATGGGGTTGATCAGTAGATGGTTAATTCTTGGGCCACTGGTCAGTATACGGACTTCAAGAAAAGGGCTCAGAAGGACTTTTGGGAGTAAAGTACTTAGAAGGAAGTCTTACATATATTCAAACAATGGGTAGTTGTATGTTATTAATACTATATTTATGATACCTAGAAAAGGCCCAAAGATCATACATACTTCCATCCCATGCTTAGTCATATTTACTAATACAAACTGAACCAAAGTTCATACTATTTTCCTGTTGACTTTTGGATATATTTCCAAGAGAAATTACATGAGAAAGCATGTCTAAAATCCTTAAGGAACTAAATAAGTGTGATATTTTATTACTGGCAGGGTTACTTTTGCAAACTTTCTTGATTATTGGGGGAACAAGAGAGACAGCAGATGGAAAAGAACTTTGCCAAGTTATAAGAACTGTTTAATAAATTTAAACTTAAATCCATTGTGGAGAAGTCAAAGTTGGATATGAGTTTTATTTTTTGCGTTCTAAAATGCTAATGTCTTTTGTCATAAAGTTCTCAGTTTATGTAGGGATTTCTCTCTTAAGAATTGTGAATATTTGCAAAGCGATTAGGAACTTCTCCTTTACAATAATTGCTCTACTTTTTTCCTAATAAATAATCAGTCCATATTTACTAGATCATTTTCTGTTGAAGGATTTTTGGGAGCATATAAATAATAAACTAATCTTCCCTTATTATCCATTCTCAGTATAGGCCTTTTTGTCCCACATGTCTTTCCAATCACATTCCTTGATGTCTTATTTGTTGTGAAGAGAACACAATGGTTTTAAAACATGTGAGACTTGAAGTAGGCTGGCCCAAAGGTAAACCATCTTCTGACTAGTATATGTATGTCTAGTTTTCTAAGACTAAAACTTAGCAGCTTTGTTTCTTTAAACCCCCTTTTCCCCCATGCCACTGTCTTCAAATCTAATACAAACTTTGCTACCTAAGTCTGGGTGGTCTGATCAGTGAAATATTTTCATGTTCATCCACAATTCCATATAAACTTTTTCTCAGAGGATTTAGAATAGTTTATTATCACACAATTGGTTTTTGATGTTTTTGTCATTGT